TTAGCCGGGACCAGAGGTGCTTCTGCCACGGCCACGTGGTCCAGGGACAGCCCAGAATTGCATGGCAGTAGCAGTGGGGCCTCCAGGGTTGGCCCTGGACCACATGGGCCCTGGCAGTGGCAGTGGGGCCTCCCTTCGGGGTGGTCCAGGACAGCATGCACATGGCTGCTGCTGCAAGGGGGTGCAAAGCCAGGTAAGGTTCCCCTCTTGCCCAGACCCTCCCCCCCACCCTAATCTCCTCACTCCCCTCTCCCACCGAGACTCTGCACCCCTCAACTTGCTCTGACACCCTCCCTTGTTCCTGCACCCTTCCTCCTGGCCAGACACCACATCCTACTCCGGAATCTACCTTTGCTGCTGCATCCTCTTTCCTGGCCACACACTACCCCCTCCCTTTCTCCTGCCCCCTCCACCTGGCCAGACACCCTACTCCCAGCCTGTTTCTGCACCCTCCCAGATCCTGCATCCCATCCCTATCCTACTTGCTGGCAACACTGTCTCTCAAACTGTACCCCTCATTTTTGTCCTTACCCCAGAGTCGAAGGGGGTCCATAAAATCCACTAACTCCAGAACCCCAGAAAAGTAAAACTGGTCTATTGGAAGCCCTGAACCTCAGTCCCTCGCCCTTCCCGTTCCTTCACCCCATGAGGCTGGGGCACCAGAGCAGTGAGGTGTCTCAGTTGGGGGCCACATCAGGGAGGGTTGGGTGGATTGGGAGGAAGTTTTTTTTTTGCTTCTCACTTGTGTGGTCTCCAACTGACTTTTCTGAGAGTCAGTGATCTCCGACCCCAAAAAGCAGAATTATCATTGACTTTAAAAAGTCTCACCGGAACTCGGACCCGTACATAGAGGTCAATAAGTCAGGTCTCAGCACTCCATCTCTGTAAGGTTGCTGACCCCTGGTCTAGAGAAATTCTTTACAGAGAGCTTCTAAGAAATATAACTGATCTACCAGGAAAACCTTCTGGCACTCTTTCTGGGGAGTCCAATGTGCAGTACTAAGACACTTGTAATACTATTGGCTTTACATTCTTTGATTATATACAGAGGAAATTAATCCCTTTTTATTATCAAGAGCTATTTTTTTCACATCACTACTCGATGTGGAAAACATGAAGCCAGAAAGTGTAATAAAATTCAATATTAATATAGCAACAGACAGTACATAGCCAGTGGGATCTACATATATAGAATGTTGTACATGCTACCAGAATACAAATGATCTATCTGTTGCAAAAAGGTTGACTTCAGCTCTTTAACTCTGTTAGATACTATGACAAGTAACATCAAGCAAGGAGAATGGCTGATTGCGTGTAACCCATGAGTGATTCTGAATATGTGGAATGTCTATAAACTAGTCCAGGATTCCCTGGAAGGACATATTAATCTAAGTACAAAATGTATTAAACTGAAACATTATAGAACATAGCTGTGAGGGCATTTTTATGGTATGTGTGTATGATGATGGTTATGCCATTTGTACAGATAAGACTTGTTAAATAAATGCCACATGTAGATAAAATAATCACGGAATAAATTTCTTTATTTCTGTAATCCTAGAGTGAACTGCATTTATTTTCACCTTTTGATTAATTTATCTGCATTTTGCCCAGAAATCCATCTCTACCAGGATTACCACATTTTAACACACTGTGAATATCTTGCGAAAAGCTGTCATTTTAAAAAAATGTTTTGTTCAGGTAAAAATAGGCCTTCAAAAATGCCAATAACCAGTCCTGAATCAATGAGAAATTTAAATTCCAATCTCTCACAGTCCAAAATGCACTTGTTTCATCTTTCCACAGAGAGAGATCTTAGCTTTCCAAATGAGATATAGCAATATCTCTAGGCCTGGCAGCACATGAGATATTGTACCTCACAACTGCAACAACTTTATAAATAAAAAGCCTATTTTAGATCCATTTTAGCATAGATTCTAGTCTATGCTTCATGGTTTTCAGTGGACTTACGGTTGATTTTATACGGTATCATGTCAGAATCAAGTCCATTGTATTTAAGATAGAGGGATTAAAAATTAGTAATAACTATTATATAACAATCTAAAACTTTTATAATAGCATTTCTGTAAAATATATGGCATAGATAACACATTTAGTGCATTGTGGTAAAATGATTTTATTAGTGTTTTTTTGCACTGAGCTACCTAAATCATTCACAGTTTCACCAGTCATAAGTAATATTGGTCATTCTATCTATACAAATGCCAGTAAAACACTTACACTTGCCATATCATTTTTATTCTGTATCTAAATCACACTTTGGAAAACAAAGGAATAGTTACAATTTGCCGGGTACGAGGAATAAAACAGTCTTGATAGTGCATACAAATAAAGAAAGCCCTTGAAGAATCGAGGTGACTTGCCAAATTGTTCCTTTCAACAAAGAGTAACTGGACATCTCCCACATTACCTCCAGCTGCAAAAGCAACCTACGTAGCACAACAGAAAACTCTCTCTTTAACTAATCAGTCTTGACAATACATGGAAGTAACAGCATGATTCACTGTTCTAATGTAATGGTATTTTAAAAAAGAAATAAAATCTGAACACCCATCCTCACTAATTTTTCGTGTAGTTTTCCAGTTTGGAATTAGCACATTATATTTTGAATGAAGGTGTAGAAAGTTTGCTTAACAGTTTGAGATAAGTTTTACTTCTTGGTTTATCTCTCTTCCCTTTCCTCTTCTGCGCCCTCCATGTGAAATCCATGTGCAGAATGAATTTTGTGATGATTTAATATATGAAAGCAATTCCGCACATGGACGTAAAAAATGAGAGGGAATGCTCCTCCCACACATACACTTGTGCTCGTGTATACGAATCTCAGTTTTTCAAATGTTTCTGAATCAATGACAGTCAGGATCCCCAGCTTGTACAATGCTGAAAGATTTAAATTAGTGAAATACTCCACATTTTCCAAAGCATTACAATCAGAAAACCATTTAGGCTATGATTATATGCTTTGTGAACCATGTTTAACTTTATCAGAGTGCTGCAAACTCTGTGTAAGTGATTTATCTTGAAGGATATCAGGGGCTGACTTGTTTAGTTGTGCGTGGATATAGTATAGAGTGATGACAGAGCACTATGTGCAACAACTGTGCTGTCGCCTATTAAAACCTTACTCAAACTGTGAAGTGCTTTAGTAAGTTCAGCATTAGCCCAAAGCTCCAAACCTTACCTTTTTTTCAACTCTGTTTTGCTCTCATTAAAGGAATTCACTGCAATACTACAAACCAATTTGTATGATGTATTTATATTTTAAAACCTTCAGGTACAAATCTAAAATCTTTTTTATGTTTTCCAGTGAAAAAATAGAATATGAATTATTCTAATATTCATAAAAATCCCAAAGTTCACATAAACTTAAGGTAAATTCTTATCTCCTTGTCTACATAAAACATTTTTTCCTGTCAGACAACAGAATGACATCATCTTGACATCAACGTCAACAGGCTCCACCCTTGCACTGGCTGCCTACCCTGAACACTGTTCGGAGACTGGCAAAGCCACCTGGCAGACCAGCCTGGGCAGATTCCACCTCCCAAGAGTCCTGTCTACTCAGCTCTGGCCACAGCCTTTCAGGTGGCCTTTCCTCCATCCCAGAGGGCTGCTTCAGCTGTTTCAGCAGGTGCAAGGCCCAGGACACGGCCCACTCACACCAGGAACGAAGTTAGAATCTGGTCAGGCCTGTCCCACCTGGCCCGGCCCATATTGGAAACACAGCAGGAGAACTGGGGGAATGCCATGCCACAGGTCTCCCCCTGAGCTAGCAGCTCCATCATGTGCTAGTGACCCAGGGCCAGGCCCCTGGCTCAGGTGCACTCTCTTGGGCCTGCCATGAGCTGGGCAGGTCTTGGCCACACTCCACACCCAGCACTTAGGGGATGGCACAATTATGCTGCACCCCGGCCACCTCCCTAGCTCTCCAGAGCAGCTTCTCTGTGTTCTGAAGCCCTGGGCTCACTACAGAGCAAAGCTGCCCCAGAGGCTGTTCACGTGGCATTACAAAAACCCCAACAGGCCCATTTGGAAAGGCTGGGCTGAGCTCAAGCTCGTAGCTTGACAAAACCGTTTCTTCGCTCCTGCCCCTCCACCCAGCCCCCTCACAGGCCAGCTCCAGATTAGATTCCTCCTGCTCCCACCGCAATAGAGAGCTCACGCTGGCACTCCAACCTCGCACCTCCCCCCCCCCACCCCAGTGAGGTTGAAGCACCAGCTTCCTGCAGTGGAGGGTAGAAAGCCTCAAGGCTCCCTGTGCGCTACCGTTTCCCTTCCCCCTTTCCTAGCTGGGGGAACAGCAGTGCTCTAGCCAGATCACTCATATCCCCCTATGCTGGGACCCCACACCCCAGCTCCCTCACTCATCACCCTACTGAGACCTCGCACCCCCAGCCCCATCACTCACCCCTCCCACTGAGACCCACCACCCCCAGCCCACTTTTGCCCCTCCTCCCCCAGGCAGACACCTACCCTCAACCTGCTCCTGCCCCTCCCCCCCGGCCAGACACCCACCCTCAGAGAGAGGGGGGTTGGCAAGCATAGCAAGCAGCCCCCTAGTAATAGACAAATCTTAAAACCTAGTACAAGACATGTTCATTTTATGAATAAATGTCAGAAACTCAAACCCTACAACATAGCAGAAAGGAACATTTTAGAGCTCCAGTAATGTGACACAGTTTTCATCCAGAAACTCTATTTTTATTATAATTGTGCTACTGAATACATATTGTACTAACCCTGAGAGTTAGGGACCCTTTCTCATGAGACAGACCTTTCTTCCAGACAGAAAAAAACACTTTTAGTTCTCCACAGCCACCATCAAAGCAGAAATGGGTTTCAAAATACCATGAAATTATATATAATTTTTAAATGTCCTCTTTGTGCCTTTATAATTTGTTTCACAAAAGACTACTTTTCCACAGATGGCAAATTAAGACAAGTATATTTTTATTTTGCTCTTAAAACCAGAGGTGTACCTTTGACAGGGGAGGATGCGCCTGTGGTAATTAGCTTCAGATTTTCACGCAAAAAGTTGCGCTGGCGAACTGTGGCTGACCTCAGATAACCACTCCTAGAAACTACTTTTGCTGACGCGGTAGGGGGCGTAGTCTGTGGAGGCAGCCCATTGATCTCATAGGTCCATTGCATTGATGCTGTCTGAAACCAGAGAGGAAAAATCTGATATAAAATAGTCATGGCCTAATACCTTGAAACATGCAATAGCTACTTAACACAGTGCTTTAATTAGAAAGCTCTTTTGTAGTTCTCCATGTAGGGTGCCTGAAAGTCACAAAACCAGAACTGCACCCATAGAGAAAAAACATTATCATGCAAATCTAGGAAAAGCATTTTATTTTATGAACTAAGGGCAATGCACTAAAAAAGACACACAGCCTAGCCCTCTAGGTGATCTAAGCATTTCTTTTTATAGTGAACAATAGTCATGTATGTTGTTTTGAAAGAGTTCTTTCACAGTATGATGTAAATGAAAGGAATGCATAGGTTGCTAGGTTTATTTATACACTAGAATTTAATTTCCACTCTTGTAGTAAATAGTATTCTAAGTTCGGATTACTTGATTTGGACAAGATAGTTAACACAACTACAGAAATAAGACTCAAGGTATGGAAAGTGGAACTATGGATTCATATTGCAATTCTAGTTTTTGGAATCGTGACACGCACAGAATATGATATTTTATACCTCCTTCATGTATATTTCTGTGTACATCAGTGACCCAACCAGGCACCATCTAGCTGTGTAATGTACATTTCTGTTTTTAATCAGCAGTCATCTCCTGTATTGCTTGCGTTTATTAAGGCAATATGGTTCCTGCTGTCATATGCTATATATTTGAGACCGTGTGAGTGTCTATCTGTCCATCTGTCTGTTTATTTATGAACTTCTCCTAAATGGTAAGAGCTAGGACCACCAAATTCAGTGTACAGCTCCCTCTTACCATAACTTAAAGCAAGGTAAGGGTGTGGCTGTGCCAGGAAAATGGGATATGCCTGGAATGGGATTGTGTCTCAGCAGGCAAGTGAAAGAGCCTGACTGGGAGTGCCTCCTTCCCCCTCCCCCCCCACCATCTAGGACTGTCCCAGCCCTGAGCTTCTCACCCCCATAGGTGCCCTTTAGCAAGGGTAGAGGGGGAAGGTGAAACTCCCCACCTGATTCTTACACAAAGATTGCTGGCTGTTTCCGTTTGTCAGGGAGGGAGGGGAAAATGCAGTTTGCTGCAATCCTCATTCTGGCTTGAGGACATAGAGGAGCAGATGAACCTGGACCTACCCCAGCCAGGGGCATTCACCCCTCCCCGGCTGTGCCAGTTGGAGCTGCAGTGGCCATAGAAAGACACTTCTTACCTGGACCCAAGTTGCTGCAGTGAGAGAGGGCTGGGGTTGTACTCTTGCCCTGTGGCAGCCTGCATATTGAACCCCTCATCCCCAGTCCCATCACAGAGCAGTGAGTTAAATGAAGAAAATAAAAAATTAGTTTAGTTGTGTTAAGGACCTGAGCATTGCGGGGTCAATCTTGTAGTACTCTATTTAGAGATTTTGGTGTGGTGAGGGTCATTTAATGCTGCTTGGATATGCTCAGACAGCACTGATCACGTATTTAGTAATTTCATAGATGCATTTCAAAGCTTCAGTGCTGTCTGTTATCGCATATGTGTCTGTGTTTGTCAAGGCAGGATTATGATTGCAGTCATTTCCTGTGTTTGTAGCTAGGCAATTCCTTGCAGTCATTTCTTCAATATCAGAGCTTTAGCTGCTTTCATTTATAGAGGCTCTTACATCTCTGAATCACTTTAGGACTGTCCCCTCTGCCATTATCTCTCTGTGTGTGTCCGAGTGGTAAGGATCTTTCAATCATTTCCTCTGCAACTAATTGTAAATTCATTGATCTATAAGTTTCAGTTTGCTTTTTGCCTGTAAGAAACTCAGGCCTGGATTACTACAAAATGTCCTAATTGTGAGGCCTTCTAACGGGGTTAGAATTGTGTGACCAAGGTCTGTATCAGGCCAAAAGAATGACTTACTGAGGATCATTGTCTCCCAACCGCATGCAAATGATAGTATCCCTTTCTCTCTCTTTTGTGATCTATGGCTGCAGTAACATCTACATAGCTGCTTTGGGGTAAATAGAAAAAGGAGCAGCAGTAATCTGGGATACTAATATGCATCTTTCCCCTACACCTTCCCCGCAAAAGAAAAAACAAGACAATATAGAATCCTCTTCTCTCTCCCACTGCAAGTCACAAGGGTTTTATTACTATAGGTAATTAGCATTTATATAGTACTTTATGAATTTACTATGTTGAACAAGCATTAAATGATCCTTACCACACCATTTAGATTTTTATATGTAAATGCTGATGTCCCCCAACAGACACAAACTGATGAAAAAAGAAATTTGCACTGATAACAAAGTTAAGATACAGAGTGGCAGAGTAAGAAAAATGCTGCTTGAGAACTTAAACTTCGATAAGGTGGGTGAAGAAATCTTTTGTTATGATCTCTTAAATTTCTTTTGGTTTAAAAATACTTCTGTTATATATCTAGATGTGCTTTTGACAAGTTGTATTTTAATATTTTAACTTTTTGGGTATGGCTGTTGTCTGACACTCCCCATAATTTCCCACAACTCAGAAAGTTTAAAAAAATAAAAATAAAAAAATGCTGTAATGTTGTGCAACTGTGAACATTAAAAATAAAGGAAAATCCTTTAAAATATCAATATTGCCCACTGAAGTTATTGAAAAATAAAAAATGAATTATCAAGATATTTATAAATAGTATTATCCATTTACAACTGGTGGGAAAATGAGGACTAAGTAGACTGAATTCGCTAAGGGATCGATCTAGGGAGGCTAATGAGGGTGACCGGAATTGCAAAACAAGCCCGGGATTTAAATATCCCGCGCTTGATTTGCATGTTCCCAGCCGGTCGCCATTTTAGAATTGACTAGCCTGAAGTAACTGCCCGCGTCTACACGTGGCAGTGAAACAGGATTCCAATTTAAAGCCCTAACTCGAATTAGCTGGTATTCCTCCTGCAATGAGGTTTACCAGCTAATTCGAATTAGGGGCTTTAAATTGGAATCCCGTTACACTGCTGCGTGTAGACGCGGGCAGTTACTTCGGGCTAGTCAATTTCTAAAATGGCGACCGGCTGGGAACATGCAAATCAAGCATGGGATATTTAAATCCCCAGCTTGATTTGCAATTCCAGTCACCCTCATTAGCCTCCCTAGATCGATCTAGAGGGTTACTGTAGACGTACCCTAAGAAACTGAGCAGTTCAGTGTCAGATTCAGGTTTAGAACTCAAGTGTTACTCACAATTTTATGTTGAATCCATCATACTATGCTCCTTGTAGGACAGCCTACTTAATTAGTTGGATATCCTATTCAGTCCTCCTACTATGGGAAGTCTTCCTACTATGGGAAGATTTTTGACAGCTGTATAGTGTCTATACTCCAGGACTGGGCATGCTTCCTCTCCTTAGATCTGAGTAGTGTTCCTCAACCTGAATTTGACCCAAACTATTAATAGTGCTCTAACCCACCAACAAATCCCTCAGACCAAACATGGACCATCCAATACATATGTGACCAAACATCACAGAGTATGAAATGTTAATTTCCATAATTATTTAATTAATATGACCTGGGTAAAGCACTTCAAAATAAACTAAAAGGAGTAGTATGTTTTCTCTATCTTTAATTTCCACTACAAGAATCCCATGTTTGCAAGATGAGATGAACTTGAGTGGAGAAAAAAAAGGGGAAGGGGGACCCTTACAAGAAGGGAGAGGGAGAAAAAAAATTACTTGTCAATTGTTGTCCCAATGTGAATTAGGTTAATTCAGTGTACTGAAAGTGTTCTATACTTAGCTTTTGATGTCAGTAGGGTGCTGAATGTCAGGAAACCTGGTGTTATAATATGTTAACCAGTTCAAGTCTTTGTTCAGGCCAAGGAAGACGGTGTCAAATTTGCATAGGAAATTCTGCACTTTCTCTTTGTAGTTGGCTTGTAACATTCCTTTATAGAAGAATGGCTACATTTGGCTGACATTTATTATATGGTTGCACAGCCCAACCTGGTTGTGACTTCTAGATGCTACTGCAATATAAAATAGTTAATGATAATGCCCCTCCTTTTTATGAAATTAATCTCCAAAATTAGACAAGGAGTTTAAATGGGAATGTTTCATTTGTGGTCAAAAGCGTGACTCTCACCAACAGAAGGCATTCCTAACAAAGGTATTACCTCACCCAGCTTGAATCACTGAGAGAGGCAGCAGCCTCTCCTACTGAGCCTTTAATATCAGACTACCTTTCCATTTATAGGGAATATTTTTTAAATTGTCTGTCTTTAAAATGAGCATGCTTGTCTTTTGGGGTGTTAAATTAATTGTCCTGTGCTAAACAGAATTACTCTGCAAAAGTCATGATATTTCTTACATTTTATTTTGGTATTTGTAACCAAATAGTCTTATTAGATCATTCATCATGCATGCATTTTTTTTAAATCATGTTACTAATATATGAATAAAAATCTAATTTTATAGTGAGTGTTACTACCATGTATAATAAAACTGAGTAATCAATCCTTATCCTAAACTTTATTTAATACTATACATTGATGGACCTGCCTTCATTTTCTGGGAAGATAAATGCAGTTAAGAGTAGGTGCTGACAAAAGCCAGCACCAGGCTTGTATGTCCAAAGATAAAACTGTAATTTTTAAACATAATTTTTAATCTGTGGTTAGCTAATTGCCTTATTAACTCTGGCAGAAGGTGAAATGGTTTGTCTTTCTTCGGTATGTCAGATCTACAATTTAGTTGGAAGAAAGTTTAACTTCAGGATCATATTCATTGTGTGCATGATTCATTGAACACTTCAAGGCTGGAAAAAAGATCTGATAGGCTAGAGCTACTAAAATTCACACTGAGGTATAAAGTTACTAAGAAATCACTCCTGCTCATAAAATCCATATGGGATGTAATTTTACCATCTGCAGTATTCTTATCTTGTTTTGGGGGGGGTGATTAAATCAAGCTGGTAGACTGTGTCATCAATCAGTTATATTACCCAGCAGTTTTTAAGCAAACTCAGTCGCCTTGTGTTTTTGATATTTTATCATTAC